CGTGAGCAAGAGTGTCAGCGCCAGCGAGCGCGCCGTGGGTTCAACCCACACGCACCCGACCAGCAGCAGCTGGGAATCAAGACAAGAGGGAGGGAACCAACCGTCGTTCGTGTACCCTCCCCCACACTCACAAACCCACGACGCTCCCGGCGTCTGCTCACACAAGAATTTACCAAAGAGACAATCCAAGCATCCACACAATAAGAAGACTAATTATAAAGTGCATGAACCATCAGCTGGCCGTGAAGGCATCGCCACTCATCGAGTGATAAGAATATGTCATTTATAAGTACATTATATTTTTTCTTCTTATTTTGTTTTATGTGATTTTACTTCCAATCGCATAAATTACCAATAGATTCATCGATACAAACTAAACTTTTGAAACCTTCGTCACGAATCTACATGCTCACAGAGAGAATATCGTGTTAAACCTGTTTCTTTATCATATAATCTTGTCCACGAATTAATTAAAACTTAGCCAAAGATAAGAATCTCCCATAGGCAGTGCACGCACCCCGTTGCACACCCTTATTCCACGACATTTCGTTAATTATATAATCTTGCCGATGAATCTATTGACGTATACTTTTGCCTTTGGGGTATAATGATTTTCTTTTATTGCCTTTCGTATGAATATCGTTGCATGAATTTTTAAGGACTTTTTCCTCTCTGCCGTGTATGCTCGCGTACTCTGAGGAAGTAATCAATTGTTCTGTTACCCAGTTAACAAACGTGATCATTGAGGGTTAAATGTATGGATCAATGAGGGGAACATCTCCAGGAGTACTGTGTTGACAATTCCAAGCATAGGAGTTCGCATATTAGAGTGTTAAGGTTTTGTTTAGAAATGTAATTGCTTAACACAAGAAGTGTCTGCGTGGTGCTTTCTTAAGTTCATGCATAATAATCTTAATAATAAGAAGTGTATCCTGCGGTGAGATTTGAATTTGGAGACCTGACTTAAACACACTAAGACATAATCAGTAAATGTTAAGCGAGAATAATTGTATTATACCGATTGATAATACAAACCTAGACAACGAAGCCGAGCTTAATCTAGCATACTTACAGGACACCTGCATAACTTCATACAATTAATTGTACGATCCCGATTGATAATACTACCCTCATCAGCGAGGCAGGGCCTAATTATCATAACGGCTTGCATTAGCATAATCACAGACATTCACATAAATTAATACGATTATCTCTCTAATTAGCATAATATCTGCGCGTAATTACATCAATTAACACAATTTCAGACAATAACGCATATTCCCAAATTTCATTTAATTTTCATTATTTTCATTAAATTTTCAACACCCGGCATATACAACAGTTTCTGCATCGGGCAAGAGGGTGGGGGCTAGAAATTGCAAGTGGGAAATCCAAATATGGGAACCGAGATGGGGGGGGGGGAAGGGGGGGTCGTGGTTGATGCAAGAGCTGAGGTGGCCATTGTATTGTGAGAGATTAGCAAGTCAATGTAAACGAACCAACGCAACAGTAGTGGCTGTGCTAGTGAGACATCCAGCTCGTTAGAAAGCGAGGGAAACAAACATCGAAGGAAGGAGCGAGAGACACAGAGAGAGACACACACACAGAGAGACACACACAGATAATTGTTTTTTTACTCTTTTATCTGGCAACAAAACTGACACCTTTTTTTACAAGGAGTCATGTTTGCATTGACCACAATACCTGCGGTCGGAATGCAAACAAAAAACACAACTCTGATAATGTATTGGCACTGTCCTTGAAATTGATTGGTCCACACCCGAGACAGCTTTTCTTAGAGCCTAGTCTCACATGGTGTTGGACCAGATGACGACAAAAGGTGTCAGTTTTGTTGCCAGATAAATGGGTAAAAAAACTCATCATATTTTGCTACTGGCAAAGGAGGTTTCAATGGTGACATTTAACTTGGTAATGTAAATTGGTAATGTAACTCAGAGAGTCGGAAATAACTGCTGACAATGGCAGATAGGATGGAGACATCAACAACCAGTTAAGGCTTTACCTGATTAATGGATTAAGTCCAATTAGTGTGGGAACATTCTCTCATATGTAGTGAGCTTGATGGTCTCACTTCAGTTTCAAAAGACTTTAATAAATCACCTGTCATATCATTGCATTAGTAGGTTTTTTTCCCACCTCCCAATGATATTCCAATAGTGCTCATACGATATGACATTTCCATCCGAGAACTGTGACAGTAAAAAGAGCACCACCTTGTGTCAGAGAAAGGCCCCCAGAAGATAACACATCACATAACCTCTTGTGAAGTAACATAAATGGCCCGTTATCTAAACTAGGTAACACAACCTTGTGTGTGTGACTGTTTCATCCCAGTTTCGGAAGGACTCAACTGGGATGAAACATGGCCTATTGTTATCTCACTGTCTCACTGCTGCCTGTAGGCTTGTCGCATTTGCTCCATTCGTGTATGACTTAAGACAAAATTACCATATTTTTCCGTTCTTGATAAACTAGTGCTTTTGCCCACACAGTGCACGTTTTTTTTTGTGCGGATGTGATATTTAATAAAAATGAAAAATCCAAAGCAACGTGCAGCTGTTGATTGGGTTAGCGTGCGTATATCCTTAACAAAATACACAGATTGTCGTGATGGCTCATTGAATTCTCCTCTCCATACCGCAGCTGTGCTAAAGGATATATGTTGGATAGGCTGTGTGGGGCAACATGCTAAAGAGAACGCTTAGTCAAAGTACAAACCGATAAACGCAACGCACCACAGGCCCCATTAAACACTCCCCCCCCCCCACAAATTCGTATGCTAAGGAGCCAGATGTGCAGTCAGCACTAAATTAAACATAATCATAGGATGATCACTATGGATAGCCTGCTATCTGCACTAGGCAACACACCTTTCTATTTGCCTTGAAAATTGTGTTTGTCACATTGGTGTCAAGCGTCGGAGTTTAATCCTTAGAGTTGAAACGTACCATATAGTAATACTTTCAACTTGGAATGCGATGAGCCGTCGCCAACAATTGCCCAAACTCTGCTGCCCTCCATCTATTAAGATGTTATCAGCCAATCAATGATTGTTAGCATGTGGGAAGCCGGAGCATCTGGACAAAACCCTCGTTTGTGAGGAGGAATCACTCTATCCCCATACAGATGGAACAGGTGGAGTGTACATCTTTGCTGGACTGCCTTCTGGCGAACCCGGACTATTCGACGTTGACACTCATGAGCCGTTCACCAACCCTCACTGCCTCCATAGTACATGCGTGTTTAATGTGATGGGGTTTTTTGTGCAATCGTATAGGTGACCAGACCCAAATCCTCAACTCCTTTACGCTTCTGAGGCAGATGTACCCACAGGTGGCTGCCCAATATATGAACCCAAGATTTTCAGCAGTTACCACTCAATGTTCTGACATGGTATTAGCCCGATGAGCCACTTGACTACGTCATAAAATTAATGATATTTTACACGCAGCTTGATGAAGCCCATCTGTCAGGGTGTACAGAATAGCATCTGGGACAGGGCAGACGAAACACCCATTTACCCAGCTGGAGAATACCTGTTAGGAGCATAATATAAAACATAAACAAGTTAAATAGTATTACACATCCCATTGAGCCACACGGCCGATTGGTCGTGCATCATTTCAACAGCATTGATTCAGTACAAGCACAACTTTGGACCGGGTTTTAATTCTGGACCGGTTTCCAACTATCAAGAGCAGGTTAGAGAAACTCATTGTACAATTAACATTTTTTCGTCCCATTTTAGGGCTGTTTCCAATGTGAAATTAACACTCAGCTGATGCATTAGAGCTCTGCTAAAGTTCAGTCCGCTACATTCTCTCGAAATAAAGATTTGCAAGTGAAACTGGGGGGGGGGGGGGGGGTGGTGGGGTGGAAATAATAGCTAACATTTTTTCGGCAGATATACATTCTTATTCTCCAGCTTACGCAGGCACGCGGCAACATGCGGGCTGTAAATGGCAGATGTGGCAGCGCAGGCTGGAAGGCAGCGGCGATGCATTTTGGGACCCGCTGCATTTTGGGAGCGCACTCACTGTGGTATTGTGACCCAGGTTATCGCAGACGTTGCCAGCAATTTACGTCACAATTTGAGCGTGCACTTTGTGGCAATAGAGCACTGCACATTGCGGATATTTCGCTACTCCACTGCATTTTTGTGGATGACACGAAGGGGGCTTTCCAGGGTTTTTAGGCTCAACTGGAACATGCCTGCCGGTTCTGGGAATCCGATTCTTGAACGGTTGTATGCAAGCGTGTGCTCGGGTCCTTAATGCGTTGTGCGCGTATGTGCGCATACGCGCGAATGGACTCGCAATTCGAACGAATGAATGCACTAAATGCCGTCGAATGATTGCTCTGCACTTTTCATCATAATGCACGCTTTTAACACGTTGATACGGCACGATTGTGCTTAATGGTGAAAATGGAACACTTTGTCAGGAACTGACCCAATATAGCTGCACAAAATTACCACCATTGACTGTAATTGACATAACGGCTCAAATTTCATTTTTCTGCTATTCATAGTTATTGAACATAATCATTAATATCCCCGTCTCCCAAGAAAAAATAGATATGCTGGTTCAATGGTCTCTCACCTGCTGATAAACACTTGATAGTAATGAATGTAACCACGCCATATAAGTGTAAATTATCCATCCGTGCAATGCTATGCTTAGGGTATTTGACTGCTAATCAGGTTTAACGTTTATATCCCTTTAAGCTCAGCCTATCACCCTTGCATGGGCCAATAAAATTGGTACCACTTTGTGGGAGAGCAGCGATTGCCTTATGATGGAGAGACTCCGCCCCACCTCCCCCCTGCCAAAGGAATTGAGAATTTCCACCGCTGGCTCAGAGCCACTGAAAAAGAAGGTCCCCATACCGTGCCCTTTGAATAGTTTTTTTCAATATCAATTTGCTCATGATATAACACAATTGCTGTCTCTCTCTCATCCACACCCTCCTCCTGAAAGGTGAACTTGCGGAGGTTCATGGATTACATCCGGCAGCTGAGCGTCGAGAAGGTGTTCAAGATGCTCGATCGGGGCTTGGACCCCAATTTCCAAGACTCGGACACGGGAGGTATTGTTCTGTGAACGACGGGCAGAGCACACGCCGTGCGTCAGCACTGCATTGACGCCGAGCAATTTACACCCTCGCGCTCGCCCATCGCGCCCGTTACTACCGACGCTGGATTCGCGATCGCAGCACACCGTCGCACGTTCGCCGCTTCGGTGCAAACGCTCGGCAGGCCTCGTGCCGCCTATTGCTGCTCTGCGTCCGTCAATAAGAATGAACAACAAATAATCCCAACACGGTGAATTTTATATATATATGGCCGATTGAGTGTAGCCCCGCAACTGTTTGCTCGCCTCCACTATTAGGAGCTCGAGGATGCCCCGTCTGTACGGAGAGAACGTTACGAATGCAAATCGTTGGTTTGTGTGAACTGCCTGAGTTAATATGCATTGCAAAGCATTTGGTTGCTTGGTAAAAGTCAAACAATGGGCGATGTCGGGGTAATGATGCTAATAATGCGTGCGGTTAAAGGGCTTTTTTTTTACGAGAGTAAGCATTCCTCTTGAAAAACTCAGTTCCTTTGTTGAAGTCTTAACGTTACATCATTCCAGAAACAAGTATTTATTTGTTTAACTTAAATAACAAACGAAAAGACAGGGAGACGAAAATGAGGCTTCATCCATTTGTCCAGTCAGTGAGTGCTATTTCGTGGCCGTGCGAGACGCTAAGTCGTGGTCGTCCCTTCCAACCGTCCTGAAAGTTTAATGACGTGTCAAGTGTGATTAGGCGGAGGGCTTGAGTGGCGTGCGCGGCGATCTCTCGTTCCCGTCGCGCGCCCAGGAGCCAGATTCATATGCGTGTCTCTGCTCAGTGTTATATTGGCAGTCGAGGGTCTCATAATTTTAAATTGTCACAGGTGGGATTTGATCCCCTTTAAGAATGCAGGGCACACATCTCGTCGCCGTTGAACCCTGCCTAACTTTTCAATGTTGATAAGCAGCGGGAAAGAGAGAGGGAGAGACACACGGATGGACACGACTAAGATGAAATTCTCCAACGTGGCCTTTTCGCCGAGTTAATATCATACTAATGCATCGTGCCAGCGTTGACAGCCGCAGTATATACAATTTCAATCGCAGTGCATTTTTGCCAGACAACATACGTCGAGAGTTTGCAACAACAAAAAAATGGTGGGGCCAAATCTGATGGCGAAATTCATTCGCATCGCTCGCACACCTCCGGAGCTGAGCGATCGCGGTGGTGGGGACCGGTGCGATGCGGCGCTCACTTCGATCGGACGCGCCCTCGCAAAAGCCGTGGTTTTCGTCCCGCATACAGTGCAATCCGCGTTCCTAATTGGCAGTGACACGTTAATTGTGTTTTTTTTTACGTGTAACACATTTCTGAGCAGCATTCCCAGGGAAATATGTAATTGATTTGCCTGAAAACATGGTTCGTTCTTGTCAAGATAACATCGTGCTTACATTTTTAATTTTTTTGAATTGGGATTTGAATTGGGATTACATCACCTGCCAGTAATGTGTATAAGTTCAGGTGTATATATATTTTTAATATGTGACTCATATCCCCATCATCATACATGATCAATCCACTCATCCCTCATAAACAGTCTCATGATTCAATAATCTATTTAGTTCCTGCAATTGACGAGAGGGGTGCCCCGGTGGCGAGATGTTAACTACCTCGCCTCGTATACAGGAGGTCGTGGGTTCGATTCCGACCCTGACGCCTGTTGTATATTTGGAGTTTGCGTGTCTCTCTCCCTGTGGTCGCGTTAATTTTTCTGAGTCCTCTGGTTTTTCCCTCCACATTTAGAATCAACATGCGTTCATAATATTGGCTGCTATAAATGTCCACGTGATGAGCCACTTCGTTGAGCTATCATTTGTGGCCAGGTCACATCTGAAAAAAATAGCTTTGTAGCTCAGTGAACCTTGCCTGATAAATACAAATTGTTTAATAGTTAGTTACCCGAGCTGAAGCTGGGCCTCCATTGGTGCATTGGTTGTCCTCTGTTTCCTCCTCTATAATGCTACTCTGTTGCCAGCCATGGTCATCAGCCACCATCGCTTCTGACGATGTTTTATCAAAACCCACTCCAAGGTTGGAGGGATTTTTGGAAAACATAATAAATGAAATCAACATGTGTATGTTCTCATCGTGTGATATCAAAGTGTCTCCTTGCTCACCTCATTTCTATTTACAGCCTTGAATCAGTGTTGAAAAACACACCGGAACCACTTTACGCAGGGAACACAGCAGTCGCTGCTGACTTCCCACAAGGCGGTGCTAATTGTATCGTCCCCAGAAGAATTAAGGGCTTAAGTCTCACCCGAACCACCGTTTTATCTTGCGACCTTCTCATTTTCATAACCTGGGCAAACGTTTGCACACTGCCCTCATCAACATCCTGCACACTGGTGGAAAAATGCCCGAGCTCAACACTCGGCCTTGGCTGCTCTTTCCATGCCCACAAGCCGCGACGGCGACGACGGTCCTGCGCGCTCCAACCGCATCCTACCTGCCATGGTTGCCCCACGCCGATCCTAACCGAACCTATCTCGCTGCCGGCGCTCACCCTTCCCGCACCGCAGAGTCGCCGCTCACCATGTCGGCGCAGCTCACGAGCGGCTCCGACATGATCGTCACCCTCCGGAACGGCGGCGCGCATCTCGACTACCGGGCGCGGGACGGCATGACGGCCCTACACAAGGCCGCGCGCGTCTGGAACTACATCACGCTGCGGGTGAGCACTCCACTGCTGCCCGCCACGAGAAGAGAAAAAAAAACTAAACTATTTGTGATTTAAAGCTTTCGTGACTGCAGTAATTCATATTCTTAGTTTTTTTCGGTAAAGTCACGTTGAAGAGAAACAACAAAATAACAAAATATATATAAAACAATAAAAAATTCTCACGACGTTTCGACCATAACTCAAACGGTCACACCTGATGATGACCGTTTGAGTTATGGTCGAAACGTCGTGAGAATTTTTATTGTTTTATATATATTTTGTTATTTTGTTGTTTCTCTTCAACGTGACTTTACCGAAAAAACTAAGAATATAAACTATTTGTTTTAATTTACCACATAAGGCCCACTGAGCTGTAAAGCTCTTTTTTCAGAAGCGACCTGCCCACCACAAATGTGATAGCTCAGCGAAGTGGCTTACCCGTGTGGAAATTTGTAGCAGCCAAACAATCTAAACGCACGTTGATTCTAAATGCGGAGAACAAAAAAAAACAACGGGCAACCCGGAGGTAAATCCACGCGACCACCACGGGGATAACACGCAAACTCCAAACATACAGGCGTCAGGGTCAGGATCGAACCCACAACCTCCTGTATACCAGGCGAGGTAGTTAACATCTCGCAACCGTGGTGCAGCCCTTCTGGCCAGAGATGTTCGCGTTTGTTTCGTAGAGCTCTCGTGTTGCTGCAGGCCATTGGCGTAAAATGCTCATTGGACAGTGGACTTTTAATATAGTTTAATTGTGTTAATGAAAGAGGTGCGTTAGTAGCTCTCAGATGTGTTTTATGGTTGTACCACGTGTTGTTCAGTGCGATGTCTGGCATTGCTCTCCACGTGCGTAGAGCTCCCAGGCAATATTCCTCAGTGGTTATTTAATAAAACTCAATCTCGGACATGGGTGCGGTAGTAGTTTTTGGTGAATGAAAGGCTACAAAGGTTACTTTGGTTAAAACAAGTTTGTTTGGCGGGGACAGTTTCACACGGTCATCTTGCATAGGTATAATGTGCCAATGTCTAGTTATTACGAGATGAGAGTTTGCAGCTGAAGATGGCGCAATATTTAAGAGGGAAGAGGCTTTTTGGCCCAACCTTCACTTTTTTTGTTGAACCGATGCCTACATGAGAGCTCGAGAGACCAGGATAGTCTCATTTGGAAGAGTCACCTGAGGCAATAGTCTGATAGTCGGGTGTGATGATTGCTATGTGTAATGCCACGAGTCGTTTGCAAGTCTGGCACACAATTGCATACTCTTGCGAATTACATCAGGGGAACTTTAACCGCTTCGCATTCCCATGACGTGCGCGTATGTCACCAGTTTTTCTTCTGATTCCATTCCGATTACGTACATTTACGTCCGTTTACGTCATCGGAACAGAATCGATTCTGAACGGAATTGTAAGTACAAGGACATGCGGGAGGGCATGTGGCACATTTTGGCGCCAGCTATCATAGAGTGCTGTCACGTCGCTACAGTTCTCTGTGCTCAGTACAGTACAATGTCTTTAAAAACTGCGGCACTACGCCTCTCTAAATAAAAATTAACGCCAACAGCTTGCGCGTTCCGAGATTCAGCGGTGAACGGGACCCCACCTTGCAACCTGCAGACGTCTCGGAATGGGACAGGGTTAACACCCCCTTTGAAGCAGACAGCGCATATTACTACTATTACACCTGTCGTAATAACCTCTGCGATGAGCGGAGGGCGCGCAAGCGCTGTGCATTTGTCACAAAAATGTCAAATCTGCAAGCACAACCAAAGTCGGAGAGCTTACACGAAAGCACGGGTGTGGGCTGCATGAACTCGTCACTTCTGCCGTAGGATTGCGACGTCAACTCATTGGGGACATTGCCGATGCGAGGACAAACAGCGCTGCTCCGTTGACGATTCTCAACGGAAACGTCTTAATCTCAAAACAACTTCATCTCTCAAGAGCACAACACAAATATTATCGGCCTTGATCAGCGCGTGTAGTTATGTACGTTGGACTTACTTTGCACCGTATGTAGCCAACTGTGGCAATTGGAGGTGCTGGGGAAGGGCAACAAACTAAACACCAAGAGCAGTCCCAAAGTTACTTTAAACATCATAAAATAAACATCACGGTCACTCGTGTCCTGTCTTGCATTGCCTTTGCACTGTTGGCATTTTGGCGTTCTGTCGTCTGGTGTAGGCCTATCAGTTTCAAAGCCAATGCATATATTTTTTTTTATCAGAGCACGTTTGTTTACATGTTTTGTGCCACAAGGGCGTGTGTGGTTAATGCAGACTTGGTGCCTTGCAAACAAGGCGTTTGAAGATCTTAACACTTGTTTATATTGCCATCAAGGGTAAAACCTTTTCTCATTTTGCATACTGGCAAAAAAAAGAAGGCCCCCATCGACGAGTATGGATGCGCGCTGAATTTATTTCACACCGCACACGGCCAACCGTGCTAATCTGAGGTGCGGTAAATGACCAAGTGACAAGATAGAGGGGGGGGGGTCATTAAACGCTCGTTTTGGGACCCCCCCCCTCCCTCAGGACCTCCTCGCTGGAGCAGCCCGTCCCATTAAGTAATAGAGCAACGCGCCCTCCCCCCATACCCCAGACTCACACAATAGGAGGTTAACGTGCATGTAAAGCTTCATTCAAATCCCCCCGAGTCGTGGGAATTTATTTTCCGTTGCTTCCACCAATGCTTTCGTTTCTCGTCGCCGCAGTTTACTGTTGTTGTTGTTGTTGTGGAGAGAATGAGATTAGTTCGCAGCAAATGTGTAAGCAGCGGGATGTTAGGGATGCGCCAAAAGCACTGCTTTGCGCAGGTTTTATGACTGGCTAAATGTTAAGAAGCTAATAAATAGGTGGCTGGGTGGCTCGAGGGGGGTGGGTGTGGGATCGTTATTGCCATGTCAGAGCACTGAGCCCTCAACACTGGGAGTCTCGCTTCGACTCCCGTGCAGCCACCGTTCATTAAACCCGACTCACGTGTGTTGTGATGTTGAAAGCTTTTAGCCAGATCACCAGTGGCTACACAAAACACTACTGTTGATAATATTATGTTTTTATATAGTAATTTAATATGGCCTCAGCATAGTACTGAAGGATATAATTTATTAAAATATGTATTGTTGGTTCACGTGTTGTCAACCACTCTTTACAGAGCATATTCAGGTGAGGTACTAAATGTTTTACCATCACCAACTGGCAGTGACCAGCTTGGTGAAGTATGGTCAAACTATCCCCCCCCCCTCCCCATGGCCAACACATTTAACTACTATAATGTACAATACTAGGTAGTTGTACCATCTTTTTTATTTAAACATCAAAATATTCTTATGGCGGAGCAGCATCGGGTAGAGTACGGGTGGCTGCAGTGACTCCAGGAGTTGTGCTCCGGGGTCATCTTCTTTTGGGGTCATCTTCTTTTGGGGTCATCATCTTTTGGGGTCATCATCTTCTGGGGTCATCTTCTTCTGGGGTCATCTTCTGGGGTCATCGTCTTCTGGGGTCATCGTCTTCTGGGGTCATCGTCTTCTGGGGTCATCGTCTTCTAGGGTCATCTTCTTCTGGGGTCATCTTCTTCTGGGGTCATCTTCTGGAGTCATCTACTTCTGGGGTCATCTTCTGGGGTCATCTACTTCTGGGGTCGTCTTCTGGGGTCATCGTCTTCTAGGGTCATCGTCTTCTGGGGTCATCATCTTCTGAGTCATCTTCTTCTGGGGTCATCTACTTCTGGGGTCATCGTCTTCTGGGGTCATCGTCTTCTGGGGTCATCGTCTTCTGGGGTCATCTTCTTCTGGGGTCATCGTCTTCTGGGGTCATCATCTTCAGGAGTCATCTTCTTCTGGGGTCATCGTCTTCTGGGATCATCACCATGGACTGGTTCCCGACATAGCGTGATGTTCGTCTCACTGAATTATGTTTGACGACGTGACTCAGTGAGGACAATTCGAATGTACAGTAGTCGTTTTTAATCCATTCCATGGAAACTACTTTTCATCGCAATAACTGTTAATCGAAGAGAGCTGTTTCCTCTGTCAAAACACAAACCGTAAACAATGCCAGTCGAGGTCGAAACGCTCATAAATGGGCGTCGCTGATTGGCTGAGGGCATGGCTCAGCCCCACCTATGAGCGCTCGGATTGGCCGAAATTGGTGCCCCACGTGGATATTACGTTATCCATTAATCAAAATGTTAACGTTAGTCTAAAGCATATGGTTCTTTGGAAGGCATAATGTTAGCTGAAATCCATTCACCGATGTCACTGTTAACTGAGGGACGACTAATTGGTGCCGATTGCATATTATGTTCTGGTGTCCACAGAGGTAATGCTACAGTGATGGTTCTGTGATTGTGGATCCATCTCAATATGGATTATCCTGCTCTTGACACCATTTGCCACTTATCCTTGAATATCTCAATAACGATCGAGGCATCTTGAACATAGCTCCCTTGGTTCCGCTTTTACCTCTTCAAGAGCCTCTTCTGTGTTTCAACACAAGGACTATCTTCTCAGTAACCCTTACGTTCTGCTGTTGCGTAAGGCTTCATGTATCCGTAAGTGTGATGCTTAACCCTTTCCCTTTCCGAGGCGATGGCAAGTTGCAGGGTGGGGTCCTGTCCACCACTGAATCTCAGAATGCACAAGCGGTTATCATTAACTTTATTTAAAGAGGCGTAGCGGCGTTGTTTTTAAAGACATTGTTCTCACCGCAGAGAACTGTAGCAACACAACCGCACTCTAAGATAGCTGGCGCCAAACTGTGCCACACGCCCTCCCGCATGGCCTTGTGGGAGCCTTGGTACTGATAAAGTTATTTTTAGTTTAAGTACACGTACGTCATCGGAATGGGAAAGGGTTGATTGAAGGATGGAGGGGTGTGATGTGGTGATGCGGTAATATTAGAGACCTGCCAGCAATTTTCCTCTGTCGATGTGAAAACACCTCATCGGGTAATTGTGGTCCAGCGTTAGGACCACAATCACCCGATGAGTCTGTAGTTAGCTCCTCTAGCCCCGCCTGCGCTAATGGATGGCTGACACCCATCTATGCAGCCCACAGGGCCTCTCGGTGTTGTTCCTGGTGTCACGTCCTAACATGTATTTGCCACGTTCGGTTAAACATCATGCACCCTTCACAGTGACATGCCGCGATCACCTTAAACTGAAATAAATTAACCTCATGTGAAGCGTACAGAGGTACATTGCACGTGAATTTTTTGTGCTGCAATTCACTACGACTCTACACGCAAGTCTACTCCTGAATACGCTCGCAAGCATTGACTTACATGTTTCGGGTGGAAGCTCGAAACTGAGCACCACTGTGGCAAGATGCTAGCTACCTCGCCTGGTGTACGGGAGGTCATGGGTTCGATCCAGACCATAACACCTGTATATTTAGAGTTTGCATGTTCTCCCCGTGGTGGTCGCATGGGCATTTGTCCAGGTCCTCCGATTTTTCCCTCCACATTTAGAATCAACATGCATTTATTTGGCTGCAATAAGCCACTTCGTTTAGCTATCCTTTGTAATAGACATGTCACTTCTGAAAAAGGAACTTATATAGCTCAGTGAGCCTTAACTGATAAAATAAAATAAAACATTGTTTAGTTTAGTGTATGATTACCAGCTCAATAAATGGGCAAGGCTCTAGGCCCGAGCATTGTAAACAATCCCGCAAGCTTAATGTCGGGAGCGTTCGGGCCAAAGCATGCACAATGAGTCGCATCAACTTGCATTGCATCAAGCAAACTCTACCTATGAGCAGCCCTGCTCGGGAGCTATGCTTTCTGCAATATCTCGACAAAGCCCGATTTTCTGAGCTGGCACACCATGGCCTACTTTTGCAAAGGGCATCATGGAATCTTTACCATCCACTGTGAAGCATATGGCACGTGTGTTTTTGCAGTTAAATATACCCGCAGTATTAATTGGCATTTGATAATATATTGGTAATGCGAGTAACTTGGTAATGTTCCTGGTCCAAGTCACTCTGTCTGTCCACTCCCTAACAAACACCATCCCCTCACTCTGCATTGCGTGATCACTCAATGTAAACTACACCCCAAGGCTCTAGATTAATTGGCGTCAATTGTGCTCAGAGTGGGTTGTGAACAAGAGGGCTAACATCTGAATGCATCAGCAGCCTGCAACTTCCTTGGACTTCCTTCGTGGATTTAAAAAAAAAAGTTACTCCTTCTGTGAGGACCATAAAATCAACCTTTATTTCACACACGGTGATAGTGTGCTAATTCACAGACACTAGTAGGAGGTACGCTCTCTCTCTCTTTTATTCTGACCTTCACAGCCTTAGGGGATAACTACATACCGGGTCGGGACAGCCAATATGCTGCCAGACTCACAGCTTGAAGAGGGTGATGATCACAGCGCCGGCACGAAGAGTACCACTCCAGATCGCAGTAGCCCTGACTGTGAGTCGGAGCTCGCCTTTTATCCTGCCCAGCGTGGCCAGGCTCTGCCCTCGGCCCCGCACCCCTTTGGATCCCCCAGATGGATGGCTCCGTACCTTGTCCACAGGTGCAAATGGTAGAACGGGCTGTTACCCCTAATTCTATTGTCTACCAATCTCCCAGCGGCACACGCTACAGTGACTCATCAATGTCACTACACATGCACAGAATTGTCAGGAAAATTAATTGTTAATAGGAATGCACGGTTCGAGCAGAGAGGACAAAATAATAATTTGGCCGTGATTGACTTTCCCGCAGAATTATACTCATCTGTGTTTACGCGGGTGGGATAATATGCACAATCTGCACAGAAATGGAATTGGAACTTAACACTTTACCATCGTGAGTTATAATGCTGTACACCGGTCCTCGTAAAACAGTTCTAAAATCAAGATTTGAACTGACATTCGTCTTCCGACTGCTTCGACATCACGAGAACTGCTTTTGAGACACCACCCCGCAAGATTTTCTGACCGGGGTTTGCGAATCGTGGGAAAATAAACAATGATTATGAAAAATGTGCTTTTTTTATACCACGCACCGGCGTACCGTCAATACGTTCATTTATAGATGTTGAATGCCAGAAACAAAAGGTTTTGTATGGATCGTCTTGCACAGGGCACAGTTATAGCATGTGGGAAGAGGAAGCAATTTTTGACACAAGTGTAGTGTCAACACAATGACGTCACACATTGCAACGTTCAGATGTAAAGCACTGTGCAAATGCTTTACTTCTCTAATGTTACCACTGCCCAGCGTTTTACAAACGTGGTAAATTGTGCTTGGAGACCTGCCCTAGTTAAGTTTCCCCCCATCCCCCTATCCAGATTTAGTATATATTCCTTCCACTGGGACCCTCCCCCCCATCTGCCATTTTGGGGTCAGGGCCAAGCCAGAAACGTGGCCCACCTGAATGACTACGCAGTGGAATGTTGTGCCCTAAAAACTGAGCTCATCACAGGCCTTGCCGGCAGTAAACCGTGAACATTGGGGATGGCTTTCACATCTTTTGTTTGTTCTTGTAACTGGCAGACCCGCCTATACTGGACATCTGCCAAAAAGGGCTTCATAGCTCATCAGATTCCTCCTGCAGTCGAAATAAAGACTCTGATTCTGATTATCAATTGAAAGCCCTGAGACGGTCGTGAAAATGTGTCAATCCCATGGACAACCGTGATTGACTTTCCCACATGATTATACTCATCTGTGTTTATGCGGGTGAGATAATATGCACAATCTGCACAGCAATGGGATTGGAACTTAACACTTTACCATCGTGAGTAAAATGCTGTAAATAAAAACCCATCACCATCTGGTAAGTTACTTTCCTAATTTAAACTGATAAATCCACTGTCGAATGCCTCCCTATGCTGTGTCAGTCATGGGGCTAAAATTGATATCCAGACTTTTCCAGAAGATTATTTCTGAGAAATGTTTTGGCCAACACACTGAATATTTATTTTTAGTCAAGGAGCATTTTAATTGGGATCAGAAAAAAATTATCCACACAAAATAAGTGTTTTTTTTGTATATTGGCCTGTGGCCTTCAGAGACTAATATTTCCCTGTAAACATAGTAAAGCATGCAAAGTCTGGAACCGTTTTGATCTCATGGGTCTTATCACCAAACAACTGTTGCTGGGTTGTCAGAGGTTACAGCAAGGGAGCATACCACGAGATTTCTGGGACCCTCTCGGCAGAAAATTAAACGTATTAGCGAAGATAACTCATTGTGCATAGTGGTGGAGAATAATGGCCCATGAATATACAGCGAGGTTTACATGAGATGACAGCACATGTATTAAACATAAATACCTAAAAGTATTTTTTTTCTGAGAGTCTTATGAGCGTCATGGAAGAGAATTCGCATCCATAGGAATGTGAAAAGCCCCTGTCTTGGTGTCTACAGGTGGCTCTTGGCATGTAACAAATTCACTCCCTCCTCCATGCTCAACCTAAACCACCACACCATTGGCTCCCGACAACAGATTCAACTAATTATCAGGACTTGGAGATCACAATTCTATATCGAGCATTGATTCTTGTAACTTTTGTGTACGTATTGTTTCAAACGTTAGTGTAATGTGACATTGGCATAACATTTCCATATAATGTGCACGAGAGGTAAACAACTGATGTTAATTGCACAATTTTGAAGTGTGTAGTGTGAGCGTGATAATAGATTTGAATCCACGAACAGATACATGGTTCCCTGCCTACGCTCTTTAACCGGCAGACAGGAGGTGTTTGTCTATCACAAAGAGCTGTGGTGATACCTTATAAAATCGATCAACCGGCTAAAAATTATAATCGACACACTGTTTTGTGGTCGATTGCTCGTTTCGCTTTAAAAAATGTTGGCCTCCCTCACGTTCCAATCGCCCTGAAGGCAGGCAACTCCCTGTAAGCCACACCAAGTGTGATATGGATGATGATGATGATGATGCCGATGATGTCATCAAGCTGTGTCCCACGCCTCCTTTCGAGCAGCACACTTGGGAACAGATGTGAGACTTTTCTTCCCGACTCTTTTAATGCTGTCCAATGAAGTGGAGTAATTGAACCGATAATCGGCAGAGTGATCAGACACTCAAATAATTGCATATCTCAGAACCGGTCGCATGCAACGGTTACATAACCGCGTGATCCACCGAACGCGCCTCCAAAGCAGGCATGGCACCGCAGTCGCATGGCACCGCAGTGTCGTGCCGCCACGCCGTTGGTGAAATGCCCGTTTTTGGCTCAGACGCTGCTGGACCTGGGAGCGTCGGCCGACTACAAGGACAACCGCGGGCTGACGCCGCTGTACCACACGGCCGTGGTGGGAGGCGACCCACGCTGCTGCGAGTTGCTGCTGCAGGACCACGCCACGATCGGCTGCGAGGATGAGAATGGCTGGCACGAGATCCACCAGGTACCGTCAGGCCACCGCTGACAGCTGCCGTGCAAGGGCCCCGAAGGGCCATTTTCTGCAAGGGCCAGCACTGTTCCCTCTCTTTCTCTTTGTGCCATATCCTTTCTGGCCTTCCATTTGCCTGTGTCCATTATATTGCTCACGAACCTTGGATTTGATACTGTCGGTTGCATCTAAATGTTCAAATTGCTTCTGTAACTTAATTCGCTGTCTTACCTGGGCTTCTTGTACCGAGCATTTTCCCAGTCAAAACATTACATTGTCTTTCGTTGTTTTCAATCTAGCTTGACTTTCTCTATTACTCTTTTACATTTTCTCTTGGTACCTGTTATCCGTAATACATCTATGTCACTCATCTTGTCTGTTCATTTTTTTAAAGTCCTTTAAAAAAAGCCAAGTTATTTTAAGGTTTTTAAATCTATGAGATTTCACACATTTCTTCAATTCTCACGAGAAATTGGGAAAAGAGACAAATTGGGAGGAGGGAATTCCAAAGTGGAGTGGTGCAAGGAATAAAGTGGAAAAATAAGTGTTTAATGTCCGGGCTGTAGAAGTTGCGACCTAGAGCCTTTGATTTGAAGTGGCCTACAAGATATATATTATATATGTGTATACAGTAGCACTACGAGAAAGCTACCATATGTGACTTCTGGCTATCATCCCGCTTCACTGTGGTTGCCTGTGACTCCTCGTGAAAAGAGTGTGCATAACATATTCTACGGCGTTTTGAGATGCAATGTGCATGAACGACGCTAAAGAAAATGTATTATTAATGTTGTTAACTTGATCGTGAAAGCCATAGCATCACAATATGTGTGTTGCTACCAGCCGTGTGCTTGAAATGAAAATAGTTTAGTTTGTTTTAACTTTGATTTTAGCGTTACAATTCGTATTTTTTTTTACATTTTAAAACTACAACTATAATTGATAACAGCGGGGAGTTTGGCATCGGGCAAGGGTGGCGATGTAAGAGTTTGCACTTACCGTCGCACGTTCGACTTGCCGAGCCAGGAAACGGTCGCTGCATCAGCGACGTGGAAGGCAGGGCCCTGGGTCTCCCATCGAGTGGGAGACCCAGGGTCCACTCGCCAACAGTGTGCGGCACAGCCTGTGACTGATCAACAACCACAGAGTGGATTGTGATCACGTTGTATGTACGCATGTATGTTGAACTTATTCTGCACCGTACGTAGCCGACCGCGCTAATCCGAGGTGCGGGGAAAGGACAACAAACTAATCACAAAAAAGCAGTTCTAAAGATACAGTATTAGTTTTCAATCTATGATGAGTTTTCAATCATGTTGGTCCCAGGTGTGGGGAGGGATATTGAAGCCTGTCCGGCCAACCTCCCTCCCCACACCGGAATCTGTTCAGCAGAACCCATGACCGGTGCAGCAGCAAATGGAAGAAATGGCTACTACGGTGACCTGGGTATGGAGCAGCAATAGGTCGCACATGCCCTCACACTCACGCACTGTTTATTCACAGCGGGATGCCTGTAATATAATGACTTTGTGAACACTCATCAACCGGGCCGATAACATCTTAATACATAGAAGACTGCAGAGCTTGGGCAATTGTTGGTGCCGACTCATCACGGTGACTGCCTTCCCGCTTGTCTGTGGTTCCTCGCGCCTCTGAGTCCATTCTCTGTCGACGAGAGCGAGCGAACACTGTGCTCGGTACAAATTGTAATTTTCACTTTTTAATTACGATTTTTGAGACAAGGGTTAGTAAGTCACGTAGATTTGTGAGACTGTATAACCCGCCGAGCTTCCCAGCTGGCAGGAGATGGCAGTGTGAACAACCATCAGTCTGGATGTGTGCATCCGATCTCTGTTTGCGTGGTGTGAATTTCTCAATAACTTCCCCGGTTATTTCCCCCACTAAGATAAATTGGCCATAAATGCCAATAATACAGGACACCTTTGCAACGTGTATACGGCTCCTTGATTTATCTGGTTAAGTAAATTACATTATTTTTGTTTAATAAAATTACTTAGTTGAAAGAGCCATTGCAATCATCGCCGCCTGCCGCAAAACACTTGGCACGGTACTCCAAAGAAAAACTGTCAAGGGACTTCCAGACCATGAGGGCAACTACTACATAAATTCTCCTCCAGTATTGATGTCATGCAAACTCCGTACAGAAAAGATGTTTTTATCATGAACGCTTTTCCAAAGGTGCATACAGTACTCACAAGTATATCTGCACACAGATATAATAACAATGAGCTTAATGCCTAAAGACGATACATACTTACACATTTAGCTCTACAGGCTGTATAGGCCACCGGGGAAATAGCTACTTGTGAGCACAGTATTAAGGCTCGCACAGTGATGTAATTATTCGGCATGTAATGATAATAATCACCCAGAAGTGTCTGTCCGTCCTGCGCGTGACGTCACTCCAAATGAGGCCCACCCCCCCCCCCGCATAACGTCACTCCACATGGGGCCCACCCCCCGCATTAATATTCATGAGTGAGTGGATTTTTACACTTACGCAGAGGAAGGTCGAGCTGAATTAAATAATTTATTACGCAAAGTCGCTTCAAATATGACGACATTTCTTTACAGAAAGTGACGGTAAAAAATAAATCTACGCAGCACAGTGCTACATCCGTGCGTGACGTCACTGCAAAAGCGCCCCCCCCCCCCCCCCCGCCTCATTAATATTCATGCCCGCGTGGAAATTTACACGAACGCACAAGAAGGTCGTCACCCCCTCATTAATAATCATGAGCGGGTGACGTCACTCCACATGCCGCACCCCTCCCCAATACCATTAGCGAGTGACGTCACTCCACATGGGGCAACCCCCCCTCCCTCATTAATAATCATGAGCTGAACAATTTTGCTGTTGAATATTTCAGATTTTACTGCAATATACACCCGCCCTTGGATGGGCAATTAAAGCTAGTGTCATGATAAAACACAACAGTACAACGTAAATAGCATTTCACATTGCATGCGTCTCAAAATGCTGTACACACACAATGGTCTAATTTATTATAAAGAAAGAAGCATTCGGTCATGGCAGAGAGTCGACAGCTCGGATAGCTGGGGAGTTCAAGCTTGCAGACTCCGGAGGAATGCACCCCGTCTGTGGAGCGCCTTGCACGGCGGTGTTCGCGATTCGAGGGGACCCGATGGTGGCGGCGTGGGGGGGTTCAACCACCGCCTCAAGAAGCGTCGATTCTTTCTTGTTCTTCTTTTTGTTACGTGCATTTATTCATGTTGACGCAAGAACCCCCTGTACTGCAGAGCGCGAGCGATGAAAAAAGGGAAGGGGGGGGTACAGAGATTCTGCGGACAGAAAGCCCCGAGGCCCGGTGCTCACGGCGCAGGTGAAAGGGAGAGAGGTGTGCTCGCTGCCCTACTGACATAGAGACAATGACGGACTGGGAGCATGGATTTTTTTTTGGTTGAATGGGAAGGCAAGGCAAAGGCGAGATTCTCTTTCTTCCTTTGAGTTCTCACAATTAGCTCCGATTACTTATTTAGCTATTCCTCCCATTGGGCTACGATTTATTTTGGTAATTTGTTTTTCTGAGATGCACGCCACTTTTGAGTTACCTTGCAGAAGGCGCTTTATAAATATTACGTATTTTATTACCGTTGTCAACGCGAGGTCTTGGTTGCCGAAGCAGATTATGTGTTGTGCGGTGGGGAGGGGGTGGTGGTCGTGGTAGATTGAAGTGAGAGATAGCCAGGGATAGCGTCCACGTAGGATCGTGAAGACAGGTGAGTGTGATGTCGAATTTGATCTGGGTCTGGATTGGGAGCCAGCAGAGGAATTTGAATCTTGGGTCAGGATGAGGCATGCAGGTGAAAAGTCTACCAAATAGCATCGTTGGTCGCCTGAAGCTTCTGGTGAGGTCACATACCAGTTGGGTTGTGGGCTCAATAAACACTAAACACAAGTATTCCCTTGTGAGAAGTCAAGATGGGTTCACTTTAGATTAACTCAACCTGGCCATAGAAATGTGGTATCACCATCTGGTACTGCCTAGGGACTGTAAAGAGAAGATGACCACTTTGTTATCATTGATTGGTTGGGAAATCCACTCTTGACTTTTCTTTTAACTCAGATCCAAGGTGCATAACGAGACCTATGTGCACCTCAATGGATTTGCAGTGGGATAAATAAAGGACGTTGATACCCTTGTATGTAAATGTAACCAATACGGCATAAGGGCAGCAGGGACTGTAAGATAAACGGTGAAGATTTCCCAATAGATAACAAAGAGGGGGGGGGGGCAGATATATGCGCATAGGACATTCCATGGAAATTCTGACATTATCAGGATCGTCTGTAGCTCACGGCACACCGCCCACTCAGCCCACCTACTCGCCAATTAAGGCATTTTCGACACGCTGAGCAAAGGCTCGCTCAGCTTTTAATGCCGGTACATTGAAGCAAAAATATATACAAAGGGGACAATTTATTCAAATATAATGGAATGTGATGATAGGAAGATACTCCCGTGTGTGTGTGTGGGGGCAATTTGATGTTTCAGTAAATGATTTAGGACAGCTACGCATGGTTTCGTGGAGCTCCATACAACGTTAACATCCACATCTAATGTACCTGATGTAATGGTGGAGAAATGGTGAGGGCAGGGCAACATGAACCCGGGGAGTTTGATTCCCAACGATGGCTGACGTCATTGGCGAGTGATATCTAAACCGGTTATGAGTAACGACCATCGCTGACCATCATGGTGAGGTATAGTCATACAACCAGCCTTGGCTTACATGGATTGGGGGAGGCTTCTTACAACAGTAGATTGAGAAAGGACTGTTCTATAAAATACTCACACATATATAGACAATTGCGACTAGAAGGGCTACAATGATAATAAAAAAGTAACCACAAATGAATTCAAGTCTATGCTTATGATGAGAAAAGTCTGAAAACCAAAGTGATCCAATTAAGGCCCCCAAAATTATAGTCCAGTGGTTGATTGCTTTTACTCAAAGGGTAGGGTCAGCCT